TTATTACTGTGTTCTAACGCCCAATTCTTCCCCTTTCGGGGAAGGGGTGGGGGCAGGGAAAAAACCATGATAGAATATGGAAATTTCCTAAGATAAAGTAAAATCTTTAGTGGTTAAAAATACATTGCAGACTAGTAATTTGAAGATTGCTTATATTCGTTTACTATTTATTTTTCTGGTTTTCAGTTGTTTATGTGGGCTCTGCTTATATGACCCCATGTTTCCTTTACTCTCCAATCACCAGGGACTGACTTAGCTCCATATTCTGCAAAGTGCCTGGTAAAGTGCTGTCTTTGTGCGTTCCTCTAACTGCAACGGTGATTGCAGATTCAGGAACCCAACACCGCGGTGTTTGGAAAAAAAAAAAAAAAAAAAAAGGAAGGTAAGGGAGATATATAATTACTACTACCACCTAGAATTGTAAAACCTGTCGGCCTTTTATGGCGCTTCTGAATCTTCTCTATCTTCAATTTATTTTTGACTCAAAAGAATTTAAAGGGGTTTTATCCTCTATTTATAACCCAAAAACTCTCACTACTTACATGCATGCATATGTATTGGAAATCAGATCAGCACCTGTAAGTCTTTGAAAATACTATCCAACCTTGTATGTATGTGTTGAAAATATCTGTTCATTTATTTGGTAGTACAATTAGCAGTGTTCAGGAGCATAAAGCTGATTTTCACCATAGAAAGCAAATTAAACAAAATGTTGTATGCAGTACTGTTAAAACAAAAAAACGTATTTTCAACGACTGTGCTTAACAAGTTAAAGACTCTACAAAACAAATATACTCTATTATCAAAGTGACAGCCTTGTACTAATGCAAAATTGATCTTGGGAATATTCTCAAGATAAGGATATTTTAAGAACTCATAAGATTCTGTGAAGAGTAAGACAAAATAACATCTGAATATGTAGATATACTTTCAAAACGAAACACGAGATTCTTTTATTAAGCAGTCTAAGCAGGCATAACGAAAAAAAAAAAACACACAACATTTTAACATCAGCAGTAGCCTAAAACCTTTAATAAAAAAAAAAAATGCTATTTTGAGTTGTACATTATTATCAGCCTGAAGAGCTGCTCCAAATCAGAGCTATTACAGTATGCACTCCCAAACCACTCTAACAAAGATGAATCTACCTATTACCAGGTTAGGATAGCAGCTATTATTATGGACCCTTGATTTCTTTCAAGTAGCTCCAATGGAATAAGCCACAAGTGAATAATAAAGATCTTATAATAGCCCTCAAGAATTCTTTTTAGGTTAGATGGCACAGAAATGAACTCAGGAGAGTTAAAGAACTCTCATCTCCTGATAAGAAAAATAATTAACCTGACTTAATGTATCTGAGTAGGTCTTATATAAATCAGACTTTTGTACTTCAAGAGCCAGACTAAAACCATATATCAGAAGAGTATGTAGATATTGTCTTATAAGTACACATGGAACATATCTAAAACCACAAAGGTCTGCAGGTCATTTTGTGAAATGTTCAATATATTCTACTTAAAAGGAAATGTGTGAAGTACTTACAGTGCTTAGTTTGCTAGAGGTAATAATGATTCGTCTCTCATGCAACATACTTGCATAAAGTTGCAGCATGTTGTTCACATCCACAGCAACAAAATATTCAGTGAGGTTTCTCTGTTTAAATAAATAAGATGTTAACAATATAGCAACAGTAGCAGCTAAGAGGAACATTTTATATATTACTTACAAAAAATTTTGTCCAATTAGTAGTAGGGGAAAAAAAAAAAATCAACACAAAACAAGAAATATATCCTTTTGCATTAAAATTTCTATTCTGATTGGGTTTGAAAGCTAAAGAAAAACTAACTTAGCTGTAAGTTATTAATTTGCTCATTTGATTATGCTTGCAAATTTAGATTTGCCCTTTTTTTTCATATTTGAAAAAAGATGAAATTTGGTATTATATCAATAGCACTACATGCTATTAAGGTAACCATTACTTCCAACCCAGGAACAGATCTTCCACCACTGCAATAACTGTTCTGTCATAGCTATCATAACTGTGCTATTTTGCCAGGCTTTCCCAAAGTCAACACATTGTATTCTACTTCAAGTACAGCAAAACAGCTTGTTGAAAGACACGAAGCTTTTGCTTCAGCTGTACACGCCAGGTCATCAAACGTCCAGTAGCACTGGTAGAAGGTAGTGGGTCCTTCCTGCAGCCACCCTTTTCACCTCTAATAAGAACCCCACTGCCACAGATTCAACAAGTGCCAGGTTCTACACTTCAGCCACAACAACCCCATGCAGCGCTATAGGCTGAGGGAACAGTGGTTAGAAGGTGGACAAGTGGAAAAGGACCTGGGGGTGTTGGTCAACAGCTGGCTAAACATGAGCCAGCAGTATGCCCAGGTAGCCAAGAAGGCCAATGGCATCCTGGCTTGTATCAGAAACAGTGTGGCCAGCAGAAGCCGGAATGTGATTGCCCCC